CTTCTCCTAAAACAGTAAAGAATAAACACAGAGGCCTAGGACTGATACCTGTTCCATGGGGTTACATGTCAGTCTAAGAGAGGAAAATGCCCAAGGCCTTTTCACTTAACAGCATTTACTTTTACCAGATGCTTGTTAACCCAAACCAATGGACAGCAGCTCTTGGAGAATGGCCAAAGCTCCCTACAGCCTTTCGAAGGTGTTTTGAGTTCTGGTTTTGCAACCAATCTAAGTCTTCTCCTCACCTAGTGTTTAGGAGACTGGAACCAGTTACCAAAGGTCTACACATACTCCAGTCTCTCCAAGGCACTTTCATTACACCAGGCTCTTCCACACGGGGAAATTCAGTCAGAAGCACTCTGTACAGGCATTCTGCACAGTTCCAATTATGTTAGCTATATTTGGGCTGTTAACAGGATTTTTACTGAGCCAGTCTCTAACCTGAGAATCCTTGGAGCCATACAAAACAGGCCTAGAGACAGAAGTGCCAGTAATCAATAGCTTAATTAATCAATTTCAGAATGAAGAATGTTCTCTTAGCTGAAGTAAAGGCACAGTAAAGTTATATACTTAAATCACATCTGAGGAAGAAGTGGGGGAAGGTAGATTACAAACAATCATTTAGAGGTTTCCCATGAGAAACCTCCAAGTCCCACAATACAACAATTCTGGAGTCAAGTCTTTGTGGGTTGTGACCACCTCCCCTAAAGTACAGAACCAGAGTTCTGTGACTGGAACAGGTTCTTTAATCTTTGATTCAATTCACTTAAGGTCCAGTGATTGTGAGCCTTGTCAGAGTTTTGATTAATCAGTTTAAGCTGCATTGTAAAGTCTGACTTCTGAGCCAGAGAGGCAGCTGTTAAGAAAACTAAATTATTAGTAAATTCATTACACATATCACATTTATTAATGTGAAAATTATAAATTCCTTTCTCAGGGTGAAAGAAAAGGATCAAAGAAGGGATAGAACTACTGCTCTGGATGGATAGGATAATCATAACTGACAACAGAGAGAGAGCAGAGCTACTCAGTTCTTAAATTTATTTTCTTTGCCAAGGAGAATGATCTTTGGACTAGAAAGGAGGTGGTATACAACAAACAATAACAAACAAGTAGGTGATACACGAATTAAGGACATTGTAAAAGAACACTTAGCTTCCTTTAATGAGTTCAAATCACCTGGCTGAGGTGAATTATATTTTCAGGTACTTAAAAACTGGAAGTCGTGATTTCTGAGCCACTATTAATGATCTTTACGATATTTTAAAAATGGGAGAGTCCTGTCAGATTGGGGATGGGAAAATTTTGTCCCAATTTTTGAAAAGGGAAAGGGAATATAACTGCCAACAATAGGCAATAAGCTAATTTCAATTCTTAGCAAAATTCTAGAATGAAGATTTGATATGTGACCATTTGGAAAAGGAAATTGATCATAAAGAACCAGAATGGCTTTATATGCTAGACCAACTTTATTTCCCATTTTGACAGTTACTAAGATGGTTTATAAGGGAAATGCTATAGTTCCTCTAAATTTTAGCAATGCATTTGATAAAGTCAGTTATGCTATTTTTGTAGAAAAGATGGGTATATGTGGATTAGATGAAGATACAACAAAATGCTACATTAAAAAAGGCATTGTTGGGGGACAGCTAGGTGGTGAAGCAGATAGAGTGCCAGCCAGGAGTCAGGAGGACCTAAGTTCAAATCAGGCCTCATTCACATAACACTCACTGTCGGTATGACTCTGGGTAAGTCACTTAACCCCAATTGCCTCACCAAAAAACAAACAAAAGAGGCATTGTTTCTGGGCATAAGGAAGTGACAGTCCTTTTGTACTCTAATCTACTTAGGTCTCTTTTGGAATATTGAATCAGATTTGTGGGCCTACATTTTAGAAAGAACATTGGTAAACTGGAGAATATTCAGAGGATGACAAGCAGGATAGTGAACTGCCCAAGTTTATGATATGTAAACATCAGTTGATAGAACTCAAAATAGTTAGCTAAGAGAAAACTGGAGAAGGGCAGGGATAGAAATATCAATTAATCAAAAACTACAACAGTCTTTCAGTATCTGAAGTACTGTACCATGGAAAACTGATTAAACATGTTTTCTTTGGCCCCCCAAGGTGTGTGTGTGTGTGTGTGTGTGTGTGTGTGTGTGTACACAGAAGTTGCAAAGAGGCAAATTTAGGCTTAATATAAGAATAAATTCCTTTATGATTAGAGCTATCCAAAAGTAGAGTGGGCTGCCTCTGGAGGCAATGAGCTCCTTCTCTTTAAGGAGGTTGGAAATATTACTGAAGGAATATTTTTAAGTTTGGGGTTGGATTAGGTGGTCACTAATGTCCTTTCCAACTCTGAAGTTCTGTGAGTTTCTAATTTTGTCTTTCCTATATGTATGTCCTGGATAGACACTGGAAGATGGATTATGAGTTAGTCCTCAAATGGAATAACAGAGTGAACTATATTGTATCTGTGAAGTACAGTGCTTTCAATTTTTCACAAGTTGATCCCAGATATAAAAGCTAAATATTTTAATAAAAATATTTTTTCAGTGATGGTATATTGCTGTGTCTAATGGAATACCTTGATTTTAGAACATTCAAGATATCAATAATAATTCATATTTACATGGCACTTTAAGGTCTGCAAAATGCTCTATATGTATTACAGCATTTGAACTTCATAACAAAAGTATGAAGTAGGTGCTAATATCTTTATTTTACAAATAAAAAAATTGAGGCTGAAAGACATTAAGTCCAGCATTACATAGCTACCAAGTGTCTGAGGCAGAATTTCGATCACTCTATTTACTTTGCTTTCCATTGCTAGAAATTTAGAGGGGAAAAGAGTGATGAATAACATATAATAAATACTTGTTGACTGATTGAAGAGTGGGCATAAATCAGTCACTCAATTTTTGTTGTTTGTCCTTCCTTCTAGAAGAGGATCGTGATATCAGGAAGGTGATGCCGTGACTTGCAAGTAAATTGGATTTAACAGAGGGAGAGCTGTGCAAAGTCACCAGCCTCACTCTCTTCTGGAGCCATCTGGGTCCAGTGGCAAGATATAGATCAAGATGACTGGAGATGGCCCTGGAAGCCCTGGGAGACCTTGGCCTTTTAAAGTTAAGGTCTTTCCCAGGTCTCAGTTTGTCTGAGGTAACACCCATTCAGTAATTAAGGCGAGGTAAGAAATGAGGCAAAAGGGGCAGCTAGGTGGCGCAGTGGATAGAGCACCAGCCCTGGAGTCAGGAGGACCTGAGTTCAAATCTGACCTCAGACACATAATACTTCCTAGCTGTGTGACTGTGGGCAAGTCACTTAACCCCAATTGCCTCACTAAAAAAAAAAGAAAGAAAGAAAAAAGAAATGAGGTAAAGAATGGCCTCTATTACCTAGTTTTAAAAAAAAATCAATTTGGGAGGGGAAGACCCTCAGGGTTTCTGGCCAAAACAGAAACAATTGTTGGGCTGGGACCCATCTATTGGCCCATCAATGAGAGCCAGAGTGACTGGGGTTTAAGGCATAGTCCTTAAGAAAGAAATCTAGCCTATAAACCCCAAGATATCTTGCTAGGTTTCAGTAATCAAAATTTACATTCCTTTGGGCATTCAATTAATAAACCCCAGGGGCTCCCCATGACCTTCAGGATGCTTTGTGCATGTTATTATGAACCCACTAAACAACTGGCATACCAGTTCTGTAGCAACAAAAATACTGTTGCTGTGTTGTACTAGTATCTACAAAATAGAAGACCCAGAGCAGGGGTGTGTTGGAATTAACTTGAACAAGCTCCCAAAGTCAATAATTAAATTTTCAGTTTGAGCATTAACCCCTTGGAAATCTACAACTCAGGGCTTGATTTATTATTTTGTCAATTGTCTAGACTTAAGAAAGTGATATGAAAGTGTTAATAATGCAGATTAGTTTTTTAAACTTTTGTTAGCTGTTAAAACACCAGAATACCACTGCAGAGGAAAGACTTATATTGATCAGCTTCTTCATGGAGCATTTAACCGTTTAAGAATACTTAAGAAGCATAGACAAGAATGATATGTTGGTCTGTGATCTTCACAACTGAAAGGAATGATTACATGGATGAAATCAAAGAACTTTTCAACTACCAAAGATGCTTACACATCATAATAAAGGAAAGACTACTTAGGATCAGAGGAAAAAATAGCTGCAAGGGTCTTTAAAGGTCATCCAGTCCAATTCCCTTATTTTCCAGCTATGGTAACTGAGGAGAGGAGTTAAATGACTTGCCCCAGGTCACACAGATAGTAAATGGCATAGCTGAGATTTGAATCCAGGTCTTTTCACTTTATATCTGATGCTCTTTCCACTGCACAATGCAATCTAGCTAGGATGTAGAGTATCAGCTTTGTTTAGGTTCAAGGGCTCCAACAACCAGTAGCTATGTTATCCCGGGCTAAGTCACTTAATTTCTTTGCTTCTCAGCTGTCTCTTCTATAAAATGAGTAAAATTCTTATGCTACTTTATCTCCAAAAATAGTTGTGAAGAAAATGCTTTGCAAACTTCCAAATGTCTCATAAATGTAAACTATTGTTATTAATGTATAAAAATAAGATAAGTGAATATGGTAGTAACAGCTAATTGGGATCCAGGTCTCCCAGAGGCCTCACTCAGCAATTAGTCATTCTGGCAAATAATACATTCCAGTGGATCTCTTCAGGATCAACATTAGTCAACTAGCATTTATCAAGCTTCTACCATGTGTCAGTCACAGTGCTAGGACTGGGAATACAAAGAAAACCTTCTCCCCCCGCCAAAAAAAAAAATCCCTGCTCTCAGTCTGATTAATGGAGGAGACCACAAACAGCTGTGAATAAACAAATATATGCAGAATACAAATTGGAGATAATCTTAGAGGGAAGGCACTAGCATTAAGGGAGGGGGGATCAGGACAGGCTTCTTGTAGAAGGTAGGGTTTGAGCTAGGACAAGAAGGAAGCCTCAACATTACGCGGAAGGATTGAATTTCTTTTCGTTTTTAATCTAACACGGTTTTTGAGGGCTCCTGACTCGAAGCAATGGTGGAAGGGCCTATGGGGTGAGTGCTGCGAAAAGCTGGACAGCTCTCGGCCTAATTTCAAATCTGCACATCTTCCCAGCTTCACTCGCTTCCCCAATCACAGGCCGTGCAAGACGATGTTAATCCCACGCATGTGCAGGTGTACGACTGATGCTCTGCCACCCCCTTCGAGGAAAAGTGACACGTTCCATTCTTGAGGGAAAGGAAAAGAGAGACTTTGGGAACGGAGACGGAAAGAATCGGCATCCAATTATAGCAATTTGCCACTTAATTTTTATGAAAAAATTTTTTAAAAAATGGATGATGGTGACGGGTTCTAGAGTAGACCCTTGGAGATTATGCTCTGCAACGTGCCATCCTTCCTCCCCCCTCCCCCTCGAGCCCGCGAACAGTGGAGGCGGTCGCGCTGACGTCACCGATATGGAAAGCAGGATGGCTCCACCCACTTTCGCGTCGCTCAGGCCTGCCCCGCCCCCTTCTGGACATTCCTTCGTCTCCTCCCTCTCCCCTTCTCCTCCTCCTTCTCCCCTCCTTCCTCTTCCCTCCCACCCCCCTTACCCCCCCATGGCGGATTGGCTGGGACGTCAGAGCTGCCAGCGTGGAAACGGCAGCGGAGGCGCAGGAGGCGGAAGTGGGACGCGGGACCGTCCGGCTGCCCTCGGAGCCCGAGGATCGTCCCGAGTCATGGACATCTCCCTGGAGAAGGTTCGTGGGGAGCCAGAGCCTAGGGGAGGCGGGCCCGCGGCCCCGCCGAGCGGAGACCCCGCTTCAAGCCTCCCGGGTGGCGCTCGTTGATTATCCGGGCGCTGGGACGATCTTCCCCTGGGGGCGGCGGCTGCCGGCCGGGCTGGCGTCGGGGCCCGGGCCGGGCCGGGCCGGGCCGGGCGGGGGGCGGGGCTGTTCCGAGGAGGGGACTGCGGGCCGAATGGGCAGTGGGAGCTGTGTGGCCGGGGCTGGCCGGGGCTGCGCGGTTTGTTGGGATTGTGAGCCCGCGGCGTGCGTCACTGGCGGCGGCGGCGGGTATGAGCCCCGCCAGGCTGCCCTCCGTCTGCGGGGGCGGGGGGCGGCACCCGGACCTCGTTTGGGGCTGGCCCCCGTGTGTTGCACGTGACGGGCTGCCGCTGCAGAGCTGCGGGGGAAAGCCGAGCGAAAATTTCTGTCAGTCAGTCTGGAAACATTGATAAAGCGCTTACTGTGTGTGGGCTGGTCACCTAGTAGGCTAAGCTGTGGGGAGAGAGCAAGAAAGGTCAAACGCAGTCCCTGCCCTCAAGGAGCTCACAGTCTACTGGGGGGAGCAAAGTGCGAAGAAGCTATGTGGTCCAGGATAAATTGGAAATAATCAATAGAGGGAAGGCAGTAGAAGCAAGGGAGGGGCGGGGTGGAGGGATGCAGGGATGCGAGCTCCCCACCTCCCCCTCCTTCCTAGTTAAGGAGGAGTGGGTTTGTGAAAGGCCTGTCTGTTCCTGGGATCATGAGACACACTCTCAGGGTCACTGCTGACGTCCCAGAACTTCCCAGATTCCTCCCTCCTAACCGCCCCCCACAAAGGAAAGAGCACCTCAGAGACCCACGTGTCAAAAAAAGAAATGATGACAAAATGGGAAAAAGAGCTTTCCCCCTGTCTTTCCCTCTTCCAATTTAAATCTCATCAAATGAAGTGGAGGCTAGGATTTGTGTCTTGGAGATGAGAACCAATTTTGTATTTATTTAAATTTGTACCTACAGTTAGTTCACTGTACCTACAGGAGTAGGTACCCAAGTATTGTGTACCTACTTGTACTACAACAATTACTAACGATCTTGTTTCTCTCAAAGTATCCACACACCACGTTGCTGAGAGATTCTTGCTACTCCTACTTAATAACCGACCAAATTTTTATACTTGTGTGATCTGTAGCCATCACCAGTGTTCTAGTGACCTTTTCCTACTTCATTTAAATTTCAAAATTGGTTTACTTCCTTGTAAGTTCAGATACTGAAATAGTGCTTGTAGACTTGTGCTACAAGTCATAAGAGAATTGAAAAGAATTAATTGTTACAAAGTAGTGCCAGTCACAGAGTGCCTACTATGTACCAGGTATGCCCACACAATCATGTCTTGTCAGTTTTGAATAATCATTGCAGAAGGGAAACAAAATTAAAATAACATTTTATTTTTAAGCTGTTTCATTTGTGAATGTTATAACGTCGTGGTTCTGGCTGCACTGAAAATGTTCAGGGCCATTGTTTAAAATGTATAGTACTTTCTTCAACTTTTACTGCTTATAGTTTCTTTTTTTTTTCTTTAACCTGGGCATCACTAATGCTGGAATAAAAGGATGGTGAGAAACTATTCAGTGTGAAAGAGTTTTCTCTTCATTATTATATTTTGCAAAAGTCTTAGACGAGAGAGAACAAACTGTGGGAGGGCTTGTGTATAATTTCAGTGAGAGATAGGGGAATAGGTTGATTTCAGTCTAGTATTTTTTTTAGGTCAGATCTCTAAAGGAAGTAAACTCTCACCTTCCATCTCCAGTGTAGGACCCAAATGCAAATATTGCTTTCTCACCATTTGATTAGTACTTAGATTAGTGTGGGTGTTTGATAAAAGTTAATTGGTCATAATGATAGATCTTGTACTATCCATTGAGAGTTTGAAGAGGTACTAAAACTAGTATTTTACTAGACCGTATTGCCTGCAAAAAGTTTCAGTATTTTTTAGAAATTCAAAATGTGTGGGGAAGCCAGTTTGCATGGGAATTACAAATATAACATCCTTGAACAGAGTACTTAATTCTCAGTATTCTGCCAACTAAAAAATAATCTTGCCTAAAGTCAGCAATTCCTCATAACATAATTTTGTTAAGGGAGAAGAATAGTGTAGTGGAAAGAGTATTAATCTTAGAGAGTTAGGACACCTGGGTTTGAGTCCTGGCCTTGTTAATTATAGTATATTGGACAGGTCATTTACCTTTGTGAGCCTCATTTCCTTTATCTACAACCTTTGAATCAGTTATTCAGTAATGCCTATATAGGGGATGGAGAACTGGCTGTCAAATCAGGAATATCTGGATACAGTTCCTGCCTCTGACATATACTTATATGATTATGGGCAAGTAAGTCACTTAAGCAGTCCATGCTCCAGACAGCTTTTTCAGACTTTAACTCTCTGTGGAGGTACCACGGTGTTGATAAGGAGGTTTCCTCATTGAGGAGTTGCTGTATACCAATGAAGTTCCACAGTCCATTCTCTATCCTAGTTTACCATATTCTATTTATTAAGCACCTGCTAATTTCCGACACTTTGTTAGATGCTGGAGACTCAAAGACAAAACCAATTATTCTCTGCCTTCTAGGAGTTTAAGTTCTACTGAAGGGATACGACTTGTTCACAAATAAGTACAGGATATAGACAAAACAAATATGAAGTGATGTGGCCAGTTATCATTTAGGGGAATCAGGAAAGGCCTCTTGAATAAAGCCTTGAAGAGAATGAGGGGAGGGGATGGTTATTAGAGCATTCCAGACCAGGGAAGCAGCCCGTACTAAAGCACAGAAGTGGGAGATAGAGCATGGCTTGTACCTGGAGACAGTTTGATGGGAATATAGACTATGTAAAAGAGGCATCTTTAAGATGTAAGTCACCTGGAAGATTGAGCCAGATCATGAAGGGCTTTTTTTTATCCCACAGGCAATTGGGAGCCACTGTGCTTCTTGAACCGGGGAGGCTTTTGATTAGGAGTAGCTACTGGCCTTTTGTGTGAAGATGTTCTCTTTATAAATGTGCACAATTATTAAGTGTGCAGAAAGGAGATGGAACTCCTGTTCTTGACTATTTCTGGATATGCAGGTGTCAGCAGTGGTAGTGTGAAGATCTGAAAAGCTCTTTGCTTCCAACCTCCATGTTTGCTTGAGGTAATAGAGTAAATTGCTATAGGATCATAGATTTACATCATTCTTTTTAAAATTAAATTTAGATAATTCTTAATGATCCTATTTTATCTGATACTTTAACAGAAAGCCTGGAGTTATTTACCTCATTAATCAATTGGCTTTTTAAAAACTTATATGAACTCAGTTAATGTAATTTTGGGAAAAAAGAAAAGCAAATATATCAGCTCCTACAGGAAACCCTTTTCTGATAACCAGTTGTTAGTACTCTCTCCCTTCTCAACTTATCTTGCATTTATTTACTTGTTTACGTGTTATGTGCTCCTTGAAGCCAGGAACTGTTTCCTGGGTATTTTGGGTGGTTGTTCTTAGTACCTAGTGCGTAATACAGAACCTTGTTCATAGTTGTCAAATTTAATGCTTCTTGAATTGAGTTCTTCGTTTAGACAATGCGTTGTTTTAAAGTTGTAAAACTGTACATATATATTTAATGCTACGTGTAAATTTTCTTCAAGGACTGTCTATTGTGAGAGGGTGCCCTACTACTTGTTTTGTTATTCAGTTTAATTCCATCCTTGAACAACTCGTGGATATTGTCTTACTTTGCTGATTTAAAGAGGCTCATTTTTAGTTCTTAATGTATTAAATACCCATCTCCAAAAGATTAATTTTAATTCTCCTTTTTAGCTGAATAATCATTACCAAGCTAATTTCCATTGTCTTTGGGGGAGGATATAGGGTTTGAACTCATCCTTGTTTATAGTACAATATTTCTCCTTTGGTCCTTCATTTAATATACTCTTTTCCTTGTTTGTGCTATCACCATATAAAGAGTTGTAGCACCTGCCTGAGTGGAATGTTCCTGACAATTACCTACCAGTAGAAACTGCCTTTAAAATATCTTCCCCATGTTCACTTAGAACCTTTTGGCAAATGGTGAAAAATTCTTGAAATCAATTAAGATGGCTTACTTGGCTTTGTAAATCTTATCTGTTGATATAGGGTGGGAAAACTTCCTGTCCAGGGTTGTTGATTGTGTAATTTTCCTGCTTTAAAGACTCTCTCAGATTCCCTTTCATAATACACACCTTTCTCATGAAGGCCATGAAGGGAAATATAGTGCTAAACTGAATGTTGGGCAGTGTAGAAAACTGGTGGACTGCAAATAACACGTAGAATTATTAATGCCAAGAGTTTATTGCCTGATCTTTATATTAAGGGAGAGAAGTTGCATTTTTGTATTGCCTACTAATCATGACTGCACTGTAACTTTAAATTATAGGGTTTTGATTTGGTTTTTGTTTTTTCCTTAGCTGAAAGAGACCTCAGAGATCACCTAGACAACCATTCTTACTTTATTGATGAGGCCCAGAGAGGTAGACCCCAAGGTCTGCTAGTTCATAGTAGGAAAAGGATTAGAACTCAGGTCTCCTGGTTTCAGATCACTTTTCTTTCTACAGGAAAAAAAAATTATTTGCTTCAGCTAATTGAAAATCATCCCTAAAGTATAGCATTTTTAGCAGATCGTTATTTTAGGGGGAAATGAGATTGGAGCTTGCTGCTTGTAAGGTGTTGTTTGATACTTGCAGAGGATAAAGTGAATCTTTCCCTCTTGGGCAGTAGTGATAAAGGAGATTACATTAGGAATTTCGATATTAGGTGATCTGTTGTAGGTAGGTAATCTTTTCGGTACAAAATGTGGGTCCACTGCACTACTGACAGGTTGGTATAGTTGAAAGAGTACTGATGTGAGAATTGGAAAGACCTGAC